GAAGACACAGGGAGCAGCACGAGGGGACAGCTTGTCCGCAGACAAGTCGCGGACAAACGCCCGAGATCCCCAGACACGGAACACAGACGCATCGCCAACCTTCCCCGTCCACAGCAAGGCTGGGGACATCGCAGGCCGAGAGACCCGGGGGTGAAGGTTGAGCTGATGCGCCGCGTACCTCACCGCAAACGGCCACAGAAAATGGGGGGCAGCCGCATGCATCATGGACGTACGAGCGACATCCATGACCATGCCAATGCGGCGCTCAGCAATCCCATTTTGCTGTGGTGAGTCCGGAAGCGTGAAGGTCTGGCGGATCCCCCGTGCACGACAGTAGTCTCGCAGAAGGCGAGAAGAGAACTCTCCGCCTCTGTCCGAGTGCAGACGCAGAACAGGAAAGTCCGAGCCGAAGCTCTTCCTGAGCTGGAGACGAGCCTCACGGATCCAGTCGATCAGCACCTCAGTGACCGCACCCTTGCTGCGCAAGGGGAGGACTGTGGTGTAACGCGAGTAGTCGTCAACCACCAACAGGAAGTAGCGCTCGTGACCCTGCCCACGGACGGGGGCTGGGCCCCACACATCCATGTGAAGCGTCTGCAGGGGAGCCTCTGTCGGGGGGAAGTGGGAGGAGTGAGGAGTAGCCCGGAGGCGACCCTCGACACAGGGGACACAGGAAGGTCCTGGCCCGGAGGGGAGAGGAGGGAGAGACTGGGGAAGACCAGAGACAAGGACACGGGAAGCCATGCTCCGAAGACGGGGCAAGGAGGGGTGGCCAAGACGGTGGTGCCACAGGAGAGTCTCGTGAGACAGGAGGCGACAAGAACAGGGGGCAGACTCAGGACCTGACCGGGACGCAGCAGCAAGCACCTGACCTGACGCAGCCACCTGACCAGACGCAGGGACAGGAGGAGACTCAACGGTCAGGGTGTAGAGACTCGACCCCGGCCGACGCGAGAACGTGGCCAGGTGTCGGCCTGTGCGTGCCTCCGTGCAGTGGGTCACCCGCTGACTCGCAGGAGTGAACTGGTGAACCCCCACATCCTGCAGGTCCGCGCCACTCACCAAGTTCGTAGAGAACGAGGGAAGGTACAGACCAGACAGGGTGCCCGAAGGGGCAGCCGGACACGGGAGGACAGTGGAGAAGTGAGACAGGACAGGACCCCCAGAGGGGTCAGCAAGGGAGACTGCAACCGGCCAGCCAAGCGGCGTAAGGGTAGTGCGGTCTCGAAAGAAGGAGCGAGAAGCCCCGGAGTCAAGTGTGAAAGTGAGGGAGGACGAGGACGACGCAGTACCTGAGAGCGCAGTCTCACCAGTACCTGAGAGCGCAGACGCACTGGCACCTAGAGCAGCAGCCTCACAAGCACCTAGCGCAGCAGTACCAATGCCCGGGTCGGGCTGGAAACACCGGTAACCCTCATTCTCCTCACTATAAGTCACAGCATACATAGCAGCAAGGATAGCATCAAAATCAAGATCAAAGATCGCTACACCAGCCCTAAGAAGCTCATCCCAGCGAAGGATCTCACTAGCCCCAGGGAACTGCTGACGCCAAGCGTCCGTCAGGCGGCCAAAGCAGCGCTGGGTGGCGTGGGCACCCCCACACTGCTCACCCGCGCGGTCGCCGGAACGAAGAACGTAGGTGCAGGGACCAGTACCCCCACCCCTCTGACGCCCAGCGTACCACTCACGAAGCTGCTGAGGCGGAGGGATGTCCCGCGAGCGCTGCTGCTGCTGCCGGTGCGAGCGCTGGCCACCACCACCGCCGCTACGCTGCTGAGTACCACCCCGACCAGCTCCCCCTCCTCCACCACCACCGCCTCCTCCGCCGCCGCCTCTACCGCCTCCACCTCCGCCGCCTCCACCTCCGCCGCTGCCTCCACCACCACCGCTGGCACCACCACCACCGTCTCCGCCGCTGCTGCCACCACCACCACCACCCCCGCCACTAGTCCCGCCGCCACCCCCACTCCCTCCGCCGCCACCGCCGCCACCGCCACCGCCCCCTCCAGCTCCACCCGCGCCCTTGCCCCCCTTGCCCTTGCTGGAGCGACGTCTCCCACTAGGGGCAGACGCCGCCCCGACCGACTCAAGACCAAGCAGGTCGGCAGCAGCAGCAGAGGCAACAGAGGGCAGCAAGGGGGAAGGAGAGCACCCCTCAAAGATGGGGGTGCGAGGGTCACCACGAGAAGCACCTACAGCGACTATGCTCTTCTCCGCTGGGAGGAGGGCCTTCTCGAGGAGGTCGACGGTGAGGGTGGTGGGACAGACTGCGAGAAAGTGGTCCCTGACGACGCGAAGGGAGTCAGGGAGGCGCGCGACTACATAGTAGAGAGCGATGTACATGGGGGGGGGGTTCTTAGCGCAGAACTCAGCAGGAAGGGCGGCGCGGTAGCGAGTGTCACTAGTGCGGAGGTGCGTAATGAGGTCAGCGACAGTGGGAAAGGCAGAGAGGTCAAGAAAGAGGTAGGGAAGCATGAGACGGCTCAGTGCAGCAGTGGCAGGGGAGGAGTAGCGCGCAACTACAGCGTCGTACAAGGTCTGAGCACTCTTGTACTGACTAAAGTGCGCACGCTCAGAGGTAGGGAGGTGGCGACGCACAGCAAGACGTGCAGCAGCATCGCGGGTGGCCCACTGAGAGCGGACAGTGGGATCAGCATCAGCAGCAGGAGCAGGAGAGGCGCCAGAGGTGAGGTCAAAGAGAGAAAGGCCGTCAGCCCTGTCACACTGTAAGAACAGCTGCAGGTCGTCTAACCAGACCTCAAAATCAATGGCGCGACCCTCAGCGTCAAAAGCTAGGACACTAGGGGTAGCCATGGCGACGACAGCGACGCAGTGCAAGCAGTAGGGAAAGAGCTCGCAGTGACAGTGGGACTGTGCTCACCAGGCAGGGCAGGTCGCGCAGCTCTGCAGAAAGGCGGCTCGGCGACCGGGCGGCTCGGGTGCAGGGCGGCTCGGGTGCAGGGCGGCTCGGCTCCCGGGCGGCTCGGCGGCAGGGCGGCTCGGGTGCAGGGCGGCTCGGCTCCCGGGCGGCGCGGCGGCAGGGCGGCTCGGGTGCAGGGCGGCTGGGCTCCCGGGCGGCTGGCTGCACTGCTGCCCGACTGCTGCAGGTGGGGCGACGGGGCCGCGTGAGAGAACTGGGGCGGGGCCGCGTGAGAGCCGGCGGCAGGGCCGCGTGAGGGCCGGCGGCGGGGCCGCGTGAGAGCAGGGGCGGGGCCGCTGCAGAGCTGGCGGCGGGGCCGCAAGAGAGGGCCGGGACGGGGTTGCGATCAGGAGGCGGCGGCGGGGCCGCGTCAGAGCCGGCGGCTGGGCCTCGTCGGGGCGGGCGGCGGGGCCGCGTTGGAGCCGCCGGCGAGGCCGGCTAAGAGCCGGCGGCGGGGCCGCTGAGGAGCCGACGGTGGGGCCGCGACAGGGCCGGCGGCGGGCCGCGATCAGTGGGCTGCGGGGCCGCGTTGGAGCCGGCGGCGGCGGGGTCGCGTCAGAGCCGGCGGCGAGGCCGGCTAAGAGCCGGCGGCGGGGCCGCGTAGGAGTCGACGGCGGGGCCGCGTCAGGGCCGGCGGCGGGCCGCGATCAGCGGGCGGCGGGGCCGCGTCAGAGGAGGCGGCGGAGCCGCTTCAGAGGAGGCGGCGGAGCCGCGTCAAGCAGGGGTGGCGGGGCCGCGTCAGAGGGACAGCGGGGCCGCGAGAGCAATGGCGACCCAAAGGGTCGCGAAAAAAAATGCGCGCCTCGGGGCGCGCTTCGGTGGGCCCTAAAAAAAACGGTCCTTAGGGAGGACCCGCTCTATACCATGTGAAAGTAAGAGAACAGGAATGAATGAACTAGCAGTGAAGTGAGTACAAGTAGGAAACCCTAGAATTGTGTACCCCCTATAGGCTAACCCACTGTAGCCTACACAAGCATAACATATATAATGTTTGACATTCTTAAGTATAAGCGCCTTTATCTGTGTTGTTTTTTTAATATTTTTAATGAAACATCTGTAACGAAAACACATTCTGCGTCCCAAATTTCAATGGCCTTCACCCTCGTGTGACTCATTTTGTGTGCATCTGGTCATAATGACCTATGATGAGAAAAACATGACTCATTATGACTATGTGTTGGTGCGAAATCTATCTCTTCCAAATCGCGAGATTCTCATTCACAGCCCTCGCTAATTTTGACTCTATCAAATCGCAAGAACGAGATGAACACTTCGATGTCAAAAACAGTAAATTTCATATATGTCATTAGATAAGCCCCGGCACTTACTCCATTATAAGCCCACCCCCCTAAAAAACCATGTTCTATTATACCCCCCAATGGGGGCTTGTCCGGGGGGTGACGGTAATCAGCCCGTGCCTATATCCGAGCTGACATTGTACGGCATGTCTACTGTTCAGGCGATGATAGTACCGCATGGCCCCGGATAAAAGCGCATATGCGCTTATAATAAGTTATTTTTTTTCAAGGGTGGCGCTTGTAATTGAGGAACGGCCGGCCATAAGCGCCGGCGCTTATATGATGACAAATACAATTTTTATCTTTAAAGGTACCAAACCGTACCTTTCGTTGTAGCCATTTCAAACGAGTCGAACTATTATAGCGTCACAAAGCAGAATCGCGCGCAAGCGATTCTGCTTCCTGTACACGGGCAAATTTGCGTCACTTTGCAGGCATGCCAGCACATCCTGACTGGACGCGCAGACAGTCAGGTCTTCGCGAGTCAAACAAAGCGAAAATGAAATTTGACTCGCTGCAAAACTGAAATTCGTTATCGATTTAAACTAATATTTAGATGAAAATTGCACACGGCGCTTATAATAAGTAATGGTTTTCCAGGGGGGGCGCTTATAATCGAGGATCGGCCATAAGCACCATGCTCCAGATAGAAGCGCCGGCGCCTGTAATAGGCCGGTGCCTATATCCGGGGCCATACGGTAGTTATTATTTACCATACCACTGGTCCACTTGAGTCCAATATATAAGGTCCTGACCACCACGTGATGCCTGCATTATTTTCCTCACCCATCTCCATCATTTTCTCCTTCCTTTGCAGTCATATCGATTTTCCCCACAGTCTTGACCCCCTCCTTCCCACTCGTCTCTCCCTGCATTCCACTCGTCCCTCCCTCCTTCCCACTCGTCTCTCTCTCCTTCCCACTCGTCACTCCCTCCTTCCCACTTGTCTCTCCAACCTTCCCACTTGTCTCTCCCTCCTTTACACTCGTCTCTCCCTCCTTTCCACTCGTCTCTCCCTCCTTCCAACTCGTTTCTCCCTCCTTCCCACTCGTTTCTCCCTCGTTTCCACTCGTCTCTCCCTCCTTCCCACCTGCCTCCTCCTTCCCACTCGTCTCTCCCTCCTTCCCACTCGTCTCTCCCTCCATTCCACTCGTCTCTCCCTCCTTCCCACTCGTCTCTCCCTCCTTCCTACTCGTCTCTCCCTCCTTCCCACTCGCCTCCTCCTTCCCACTCGTCTCTCCCTCTTTCCCACTCGTCTCTCCCTCCTTCCCGCATGCCTCTCCTTCTTTCCCAATCGCCTCTCCCTCCTTCCCACTCGTCTCTTCCTCTTTCCCACTCGTCTCTCCCTCCTTCCCACTCGCCTCTCCCTCCCTTTCACTCGTCTCTCCCTCTTTCCCACTCGTCTCTCCCTCCTTCCCGCATGCCTCTCCTTCTTTCCCAATCGTCTCTCCCTCCTTCCCACTCGTCTCTCCCTCCTTCCCACTCGCCTCCTCCTTCCCACTTGTCTCTCCCTCTTTCCCAATCATTGTCTCTCCCTCCTTCCCACTCGCCTCGCCCTCCCTTCTACTCGTCTCTCCCTCCTTCCCGAATGCCTTTCCCTCCTTCCCATTCGTCTCTCCCTCCTTCCCACTCTTCTCTCCCTCCCCACTTGCCTCTCTCTCCTTCTCACCAGTCTCCCCAACCTTCCCTCTTGTCCCCCCCTCCTTCCCACTCATCCCTCCTTCCTTCCCACTCATCTCTCCTTCCTTCCCACTCATCTCTCCTTCCTTCCCATTCGTCTCTCCTTCCTTCCCACGTGTCTCTCCTTCCTTACCGCTTGAGTCCTTTCCCCGCACAGTTGCATCCCCTTCCCCCATAGGCACATCCCCTTCCCCCATAGCCACATCCCCTTCCCCCATAGTCACATCCCCTTCCCCCATAGTCACATCCCCTTCCCCCATAGTCACATCCCCTTCCTCACCCATACTCAAATCTCCCCCCTCGAACACAATAACACCATCGTCCCTCACACATATAGTTCCTGTCCCCTCAGATAACTCCTCCTCACGCATATCCCATCCAGCTCTCACATTTTGGCCTGAAAGGTTTAACTCTTCCGCTCCAAACATACCCAACCCTTGACTAGCATTGACTGCCCCTTGACCATCATTGACTGCTTCTTCACTTCCATCGCCCCTTCCCTCACCACCCTCCTCTGCCCTCACCCTTCCCGCCACACCCCTCTCCCCCACAACCGCCCTGTCTGCCCCGTTCGCCCCTCCAACAGCATTCCCGCCCTCCTCCCCTCTCGGGCCGGACATCTCACCCTCAGTGCCCCCCACCTCGCCCCCAGTGCGCATCTCTCTCCCATCACCCCCCACCTCGCCCTCACCGCGCGCCACATCGCCAGGTGCGCCCAGCTCCTTGCCCTGTCCCCCCTCATCGGCAGGCGCCCCCAGCTCTTTGACGAGGTCAGCAGCACCCCCTCCCCCAGCAGCGCCTCCCCCCAGCTCTTTGATGAGGTCAGCCACGATGCTGCACAGGCTGCACTGCCCTGCCGGCCCGTCCGCCACACAGCGGTGCGACAGCGTGAACACCCCCCCTCCGCTGCCGCTGCCCCCCGGCACACTCACCGTCCCCACTCTCTGCTCCCCTCCCTGTTCCCCTCCTTGCTCCCCTCCATGCTCCCCTCTCGCCTCTCCTCCCTGCTCCCCTCCCTGCTCCTCTCCCTGCTCCCCCCTCTGCCCGCTGTCCTCCCCCTGTCCCCTCGCCACAGCATTGCTTCTTTCCCTCGCCTGGCCCTGCAGCAGCCGCTCCACCAATGGCAGCCCCACGATTGCTGCTTCCCTCCAAACCCCTCCTTCCCCTCCTCCTCCCCCCCCCTCCTCCCCCTCCTACCCTTCCTGCTCTGCCTTGACCCACACCCACTACCCCTCCTCCTGCATTCACTGTTGCTTGACTAGCGTTGACTGGTGCTTGACCATCGTTGACTGGTGCTTGACCAGCGTTGACTGGTGCTTGACCAGCGTTGTCTGGTGCTTGACCAGCATTTCTTGTCTGTAGCACAGCAGCTCCTCTCACATGACCTGCACCCAACCCTGGCTGGCCGACAGCTGTCTCCACCTGATTCGCTGCCACTCCCCTACTTGGATCCGCATTGACCACTGGTTGACTCACGTTGACTGCTGCTTGACCCGCGTTGACCAGTGCTGGACCTGCATTGAGCACTGGTTGACTCGCATTGACTGCATCTTGACTCACGTTGACTGTGCCTTGACGCATTCTGGCCGACATTCTAACAGCCACACACTCAGGGCACTCGCACTGAATCCCATTGACCACCACTGGAACGTCAACCACCCCCCCTTGACCAGCATTGACTGCATATTGACCTGTGCTGGCCATCTGTTGACCAGCATTGACTGCTCCCAGGCTCTCTCGCACCAACTCCTGCACGCGATGCCCCAGCAGCTCCAGTCCTGCCATGCTGCCTGCCATGCTGCCCGCCTCTCCTGTACCCACCCCACCTGTACCGCCCAACCCACCTGCTCCTGCTCCTCCTGCCCCTCCTACCCCTCCTCTTCGACCAACCCGTCTTCCTCCTCCTCCACCCTCCCCCACACCTTGTAAACCCCTTGCTCCACCTGCTGAGGCTGCTGCTGCTGCTGCTGCTGCCATTCCCACACCCCCACCCCCACCTCCTGCCATCCCTCCCACTGCCCCCGTTTGCCCAACCGTCCCCAATCCCCTCCAACCAAAACCTGTTTCCCCCATCCGCGTTCCTGCCATTCCCATTACTCCCGTACGCGTTTCCCCCATCCTCGTTCCCCCTGCTACTGTCCCGCCCATCGCTGTAACCCCCATACCCACCCTCGTTGATCCCACCCCTGCTGTTCTAGCCCCCGCTGTTCCCGTCCCCCTCACTCCAGTTGCCCCCAAACCCGTTGCCCCCACCTCAGCCCCTCCCATTCCCACTCCTCCAGCACCCATTCCCCCCACACCCCCACCAAATACCCCCGTCCCCCCTCCCCCACCAACCACACCGACACCTGCAGTCACACCCGACAGACCTGCAAGCTGCTGGTCTACCAACCCAGCATTCCCCCCAGCAGCAGCGGCAGCTTGAATCCCGGCCAGCTGGCGGTCGACGGCGTGGGCGTGGGCGCGGCGGGCGAAGAGGGTCTGCAGGGCAGGGCTCATGGCCTGGAAGGCGTGGGCGTCGAGGGGGCGCTGCAGGAAGGCGTCGATGGCCGCCACTCGCTGCACGTCCGTCAGAGATGGGAGGGCCTGCACGTCCTGCACCGACTTGAACACACTGTCCGCCACCGCGTCTGCAGGTGAAGAGGCGGGTACGGAGGTGGTGAGGAGTAGGAGTGGGAAAGTGTGAATGATAATCATAATAATTACAGTGATCAGTATCACGAACATTATCATTAGTTTTACTACTTGTTATGTGTGCAATAGAACGAGAGAACGAAGATTGCACTAATGGGTAAAGGAATTAGTACAATGTGAGCAAAGGCATGAGCGAACAATAAATAACAAAAAACACTAACAGTAACGCTTGAAGGTGAGTTAGGCTGACTGTGAACTGGCAGAAAAGTTCAGGCTAGTCCCAAAGTGTAAGCCAACGCTGCGGAGAGTCACTCTGCACCAAGAGTAGGACTACATGTGGAAAGCACGGGCTTTACGAGTGATTGTAGCGTTTGCTCGTGTTTTTTCTACTTGCGCATTCGCAGCGACAATCAGCAGGAGTTTCGGTAGCAAAAGTTGGATACAAAGATGAATTAGTAATGGCAACAATGCCTATATCAGTGGCCTAGCAACCTAGCACACAGGCAAGCCGGCCTCCAGCGCAGCACGGGGGCGGTCTGCCAGCACTGCAAGTCGACACCGTGCCAGCACAACAGGGAGGTGGCTTGCCAACGTTGCAAATCGGCGACCTACCAGCGCAACACTGAAGGCGGCTTGCCAACGCAGCATCAGGGCGGCCTGCCAGCATTGCAACCACATGCGACTGTGTGCGCAAGTTCATGCACCTACTTCGCAGGTGCAGGGCGACGGCATCACGAACATTGCGCAGGTGCCAAGTCGGTCACCTGCCAATGATTGCGCCAGTCTCCAGATGTGTTACATCGACCGTAGGTGGACATCACCAAAATCTCCTAGGCGACGTCCGCGCATCCCCGCGCATAACTCTGTCGATTAGGAAACAAAATCGAACAGGCAAAGTCCCCTGCGCCCGCAAGTCGGCGCCCTCAGGTCGACGAACTCCTTCATCAACCACCCAAGTCGAAGTTGGCCGCCGACTTTCTCTCGTCGGCGGCTTCACAGTGTTTTTGCGGAAATTCACTAAATCTGTGGACTTCCTCGCCCAAGTCGGCGTCGACCACTGACTGCAGCCAGCTGCAGCTCTCGTACACCTGACTGCGAAGTTGGCTTCGCCCAAGCGAAGGCGGGCCACTTCTTAGCAACACCCCTCCGCCCAGCTCACGCTTAGGCACACACACATGAGATCCATACAGGACCCAAAAGATAGAATACACGTGAAAAATTCACCAGCGTGCACTCTACACACAGCACGTCGGTCACCGCTCCAGCCATGCCGAAGGGCATGGCGCCGTCTACTTCTGCAAGCCGTCGTCGCCGTCGCCGAAGTCGGCCAAACGCACTTGACTGATTGCGACTGAGTACCGGTTGAAGGCCGGAAAGTACAGCGAGAAAGTCGGCCAGCTACTCGGCGGTCGGGTTGTATTGTAGCGCGAACTTCTCGCGCTTCACCATCTGCTACAGTCAAATGAGGCGTCACTCCATATGCTTGAGGTTGTCGTTCAGCCCCAAATCCGGCCAACTGGTTGTCCACATTCAGGACAATCAGCATCTAGCGTCGAGAAGCTCGAACTCGACGAGGAGGAAGAGAAGGTGGCGAGTCTACTTTCCAGCTTCGGTGGTCGCAATGTACTCCGGCTCAGTCGATGACAGCGTCACGCACATGACGCGCTAGCTCGTCTAGGAGACGGCGGCCCCGCAGATGTTGAAGACGTAGCTGTTCGTGCTACTGCACGTCTGCTTGCCGCCGGCATCATCGACGTCCGCGTAGCCGACTAGACACAGCGACCGACAAGTGCGTGCTGCGAAAGAACGAATGCTTTGAATAGCAAGTGTTACGTATACGATGGAATGAGCAAACGAGGATAGCATCAAAGTGTCAAGGAAGTAGTACAGTATGAAAGAACTTATGAGTATGCATGGGCTTGAGGCAACTTACTCGCCTCGACTCGTCCGAGTTACTCTTGCAGGGTCGAATAACAAGCATGATTTTTGGCAAAAAAAATGCTCGGCCGAGTCGGGGCGAATATTACTCGGCGAGTTTTTTGTGCTCGTCGAGTACTCGCCATTCAGACGAGCATTTTCAGGTATTAAGGTGGAGTATTTCATGCTCGACGAGTTATTACACTCGTCGAGCATACAGGAAACTCGTCCCGTAACCCTTACAAACATATTTGGCAGAAAGGTTGGGGTAAAACTAATTTGCGGGAAAGATTGGGGCACATATTTGTCGTGGGATTTGTTCCAAATAGGTGAATATCAGGGTTACGATAAGGACTTGCAATAATGCGCAAAGGTGAGCGAGGTTGTCCAATGCTAGCAGCGGGGTTCGGGCTAGTCCAGAAGCACAGGTCGGAACGGTCTTGTACGGTGATGTATAATTTGGCAAAAGTTGACGCGTAGTGCAACGAGCACTACGGCTGGTAACGGGCTAAGAATAGTCATGGCTCAGTGTGCAACGTTACGATGAAATTATGTGCGACGTAGGGAAATTAAAAAAAATCCTGAAACCGACACTATTATTACTACTACGATTGCTGCTATCATTACTATATTTCTTGTTCCTATAACCATCATCATCATCATCTCTCGATGTTGGCATGATCATCATGCTGATCATTACACACCTTGAGCTTACTGGTTGTACTTCCTAATAGGGATGGGCATTTGGCCCGGACAGGTCGGGTTACCCGACCCGACCCGCCTAAAATGGCGGGTCGGGTCAGGAATGCTGAGAATGTCGACCCGTCCGGGTCGGGTCGGGTTTACCCGGGCGGGTCGGGTCGACCCGTGACCCGTCAATGTGACTTATAGACGGGTATCAGCGACCCGCCGGGTCGGGTTGACCCGTCCCGTCCGGGTCGCATACCCAGTCAAATGACAGGGTTACCCGACCCGTTCTCTGCTTAGGGTACAATTTGGAGAGGGGGAGAACATCAGTTGGTTTTGATGTTTTGTTTCCCTCGACATTCAGATCCAGTCTCTAATCAAGTTAGTAAATCTCCACTGCACCTACCAAAACTCTTACAGTCTTCACTTCAATGTTAGCACTATTTTAATATTTATATTCATTATAGGCATAGGCGCTCCTGCCATTACGCAGTGTCGCACGACCAGGGGCGCAGCAGCGAACTCGCGGCCACGCATTGGCGGGATCGCGGCCACGCATTGGCGGGATCGCGACCACGCATTGGCAGGATCGTGTCCCTGCAATAGCGCGATCTCGGCCCCACATTTGCGCAGCGCGATCGCGGCCCCGCATATGCGCGATCGCGGCACCACATTAGGGCAGCGCGATCGCGGCCACGCATTGGCGGGATCGCATCCCCGCAATAGCGCGATAGCGGCCTTGCAGTAGCGCGAACGCCACCAGCCAGAATCGCGGTCTCCACCTCCAGCATCGCGAACGCCACCTGGAGCAGCGCCAAGGCGCCACCATACCCTGCTGCTATGTAGCATGTTTTGATCCGACCCGACCCGACCCGTGGTGTAACCGACCCGGTTACGGGTCACAAATACCCGTTCCAACGGGGCGGGTCGGGTCACCAAAACAGAGTCAAACCCGACCCGCTAACCCGACCCGACCCGACCCGTTAAGCTAACGGGTCGCCCTAAACGGGACGGGTCGGGCCGGGTCGGGCCAGATGCCCATGCCTACTTCCTAACATCATATCCCCCACCATATCTTGTTGGATCCTCCATTTTATTGTTCGACCCATGCACGGATTCAACATTTTCCTCAAACCATCCACAAAAGCACACAATTCGGTTCTACCTTCCCATAATGCCATGCACGTGTGTGCCTTCACATCACATCACATCACATCGCATCCCATCCCATTGCATCACATCGTAGGGAAGCACAACGCATCGCGTTGCATTGCATTGCATCCCAGCCCGACCCCCGGCCCCTCCCATCCCACCCCACCCCACACCACCCCACCCCACCCAACCTCACCGCACCCCGCTCCACCACATCCCATCCCATCCCAGCATATCCATCCCATCCCACCACGCACCTCGGTGCACGTGCGGCTGCCCCTTCTCCGCCATGCTCCTGAACGTGGTGAGGGCACGCGCCACACTCTCCATCACCCGCCGCTGGCGCTTCCTCTCCCTAGCCTGAACCCACACCGGTCTCGACCGCTTCACACCCCTCCCCCCTCGATTCTGCCCCTCTTGAACCCGAATCTCCTGCCATGCATTTGCATTCCCTCCTCCATCTCCTCCATCCCCAACCCCCCCCCCCCTCACCCTCAACCCCGAGCCTCTCTGTGCCGCCTTGCTCCCTCCTGCTCGCCACCATGCCAGCGATCCGCGCTGCCAGCCTCGCAGGGTACTCGTCCCTCTCATCTGCGCTTGCACCAGCCACGTCAGCATCACGGGCCACATCAGCACGAACCGTGTCAGCACGAGCACCATCAGCAAAAGTGACATTGTTTCGTGCCACCTCAGCATGATGCATGCCATTGGCCCGCGGTGCGCCAGCTGGAGGGTCAAACCCGCCATTCCCCTGTGCAACACCAACACCATCACTCCCAATCCCTCTCCCACCCGCACCCTCTCCCCCTCCTCTGCTCCTCACACCTCCCCCTTCTCCAGCCTGGCGCCCCGCATTTCCCCTCCTCGTTCCCCACCACTCATCACCATTCCACTCTCCACCTCTCCAACCCCCTCCACTCACCCCTCCTATCTCCCCTCCTCTGATCCTCCGACTCCACACCCCGCCTCCTTCTCGCCTCTCAAGCCTCCCTGCCCCACCCCCCTGTCGCCCCGCATTGCCCCATCTCTCCCCCCTTTCCACCTCCTCCACTTCTACCACCCTCTCTCCCCCCTCCACCTCCTCAAATTCGTCCCCCTCTGCCTCCCCATTCCCCCTCCCTCCTGCCCGCACCTCCACCACTTCATCATCCTCCTCCTCCCCATCGTCTCCCTCTTCCTCATCCTCACCCTGTTCCCCTCCATCTCCCTCTTCCTCCTCCCAATCATCATCCTCCTCCTCCCAATCATCCTCCTCATCCCCCCACTGCACCTCCCCTTGCACGTTCTCAGCAGGGCAAGTATGGGTGGAGAGCAGAGCGAGGGGCAGCCAGGGCGCCACGTGGCTGCACCACCGGCTGTAGCCCCGCCACTGCGGGTCCTGCCTCAGCTTCGGCATGATGCCCAGCTGACGCAGGCAAGGGGGAAAGTAGGGAGGGCGGAGTGGGAAGGAGTGGTGATCGCAGGGAAACGAACCACAGAAAGTGCCGCCACAACCGGTGCTGCCTTGGCTGAGGTAGGATGCGCAGATGGCGCGGAGAGAGGAGAGGAGAGGCAGGGAGGGGAGAGTGTGGGGGTGGGGGATGGGGAAATGGGGTAAGGAACAGCGAGAAAGGAAAGGGAGAGAGAAAGTGAGTGGGCTTCAGCGCATGGGGCTTTGGTGAGGTGGAAGCAGAGGAGGGTGGGCTTCAGTGCATACAGGATAAAGGAGGGTGGGCTTCAGTGCATACAGGATAAAGGAGGGTGGGCTTCAGTGCATACAGGATAAAGGAGGGTGGGCTTCAGTGCATACAGGATAAAGGTCCACATGAGCCTAGCCTAGCTTAAAAGAACTGAATCAGTGTACGCATACCAGGAGTAAAAGACTCTCAATTCTGTACGTTCCATTCCATGTAAGAAAATACATTGCATTCCAGTGCCCACCGCAACCCAACATGTGGCTGGGCTTAACTGGCATATCATCTCAATTAGGCTCAGGGTGCAAGTCCAGATCACCGCCAAACCACAACTCAACTTAGGGTCGGTTTCAAACCACCAACGCACCTTGGGGTCGGGATCAAAGTACTGAGTGGCAGGGTCCCATTCAACTCCAGGCGGCAGCATTGCCTGCAGGGCCTGAATGTCCTTCACCCACCCGCGCACCACCCGGCATCGGATTCTCAGCTGCTCCTCCGAATACCTGGGGTACCCCCGCAGGGATCCTTGCCGCAACCACTCGCGGTGCACCGCCCCCCAGTCCTCGATCCTGCCGGGGAGGGCGCTGCCCTGAGCGCGCAGCACGCCGCGCATGATCTTCAGAAGTGTTATTGTCTGCTGGTCGTCCCACAACGCCCGCACCCTGCCCCTGCCGCTCTCGTGGCTGCTACCTCTCCACACCTGCTCCACCCGCACGCCCAACCCCAGGCCTGTGCCCGTGCCCGCGCCTCTGCCCGCGCCTGTGCCTGAGCCTGTGCCCGTACCTGTGCCTGCGCCTGTTCCCCTACCTGTGCCCGTGCTCGCGTGCAGGGGGGGCACGGGGAGACCAAGGGCGGAAGAGTGGGGGGTGGGCGAGGGGAAGGCGTAGGGGGGAAGGGCAGGTCGGGCGACACGGGCGTTGGTGGCCGGAACCGACTCCAACCGCACACCACCGCGCTGCTCCTCCGCTCGCCCTTCCCTTTCACCCGCTCCCCCAGCAGTCCTTCTGGCTGCGACTGCTTCCCTTCGTTGCGCCGTTGCTGCCGCAGGGCCACCTGCGCGGCGGGCAGCCTCCGCCCTCTGTGCGGCTTCCGCCGGCAGGTCAGGCGGTCTGCTGGGCGGCTGGCTCGGAGGTTGCTGGTCGGTGACCGACTGTAGGCGCTGTAAGAGAAGCGAGCGAGTCATGCTGTAACGGAGGAAAACGGGAAGGGGGAGAAGAGGGAATCAACCAGAGCAATGTTATGGAAGCTTGCGTAGGCTGCTTATCTGCATTACTTGACATTAAGCGTCAGATGCAGAAATCAATTCATTGCGGAGGTTGCGCATCTGCGTTGCGATACTTCAAGTGCAGGCATTGCAAGCAAAACGGCGACACGTGACGTCATGGCAGTCAAAGGTGACATGGATACTCGTCATGAAGCTCCACAAGCTGAGAACATTTCGATCCACGACACGCGTTAAACTGACATAGCCATTCTTGTGAGCGCGTAAAAAGTGTTTACTTGCAACGTTTATCTCCAGCGCACCTTGCTTCGAAATGGCTTGATTAGGTGTTTGAGCCGATCAAAAATAACACGAAAAGCGGGCTGCAGCCGAAGCGAGCTTGCGGGAGTCGTAACGTGGTGGTCAGAAGATTTAGGAAGCTTCGTAAGCACCTAGGAAAGTGCGTAGAACGTAGCTGCGTTCATGGAGGTGTGGTGGAACAGCAGCTTAGGGTTTCAGCCTTGGCAGAACTGCTCGTTGGTTTCTAGGAGGGTTGCTTTATGTTCCGGTACTGTAGCAATAACCTACTCCAAGCTGCTTAGCTCTGGGACGAGAGAGTCAAATAAATGGCGGGAAAATGTTGTGCGACCACGTTACGTGGTTCAACGATTGTTAATTGAACTCGCGAACATTTCGCCAAGAAAGAGCGCGGACTGGAATTTCGCGACGACCCTCGGCTCCTTCCCTTGACCAGTCCCGTTTTTTATGAGGGTTCTGTTGGAACTTTCGGGATTCGCGTTTGGAGTCTGCAAAATTCTACGTTTTTTTTGGGTTGCGAAGCAACCTATTACTATCGTTATGTACAATTTTTTTTCATCTTCTTTACATAAAAAAATGAAGGATGAAAAAAATCTAGTGAACAGAAGCTAAGTGAAGTTACTGACTACTATGTATTTGCCACGTCAATTTACCACGTGCCGAACTACATTCCTTCTCATTTCCTAGTTTGCTTTGACTGAACCTACATTTCATGAGTTGCCAAAATGATGTACTATGAATGCGAAACTGTTTATTCCATGATGCATATGTGAAGATGGTAGGCAGAAATAGGCGCCATAGCTAGGAAAGCCCTAGCTAGGCAAGAAACAGTTTAGGCAAAGAAAGGGGGGGGTTCACTAGCAGGAATGAAGATACAAATAGCAAACCCTAAAAGGGTTGTACTCGCTATAGAGCATCCCACAACAGGCTACAGCATAGCATTTCTGACACACCCCCATAGCCAAAGTAGGGTGTAATCAGTTGAGCAAGCAAAGTAGAACAAGCTCAGGGTGTCAGAATATTATGCTCTAGCCTGTAGTGGGGTGCTTTATAGCGAGTACAACCCTTCTAGGGTTTGCTATTTGTATCCTCATTCTTGCTAGTGCAACCCCTTCTTTCATTTCTCTTTCGTGTACCCTAAACCTAGCCATGGCTTCTTAGCCTTAGCTACTATTTTCACATGCTATCAGAGCTAGTACGCTCCTGGCCTGTGGGCCCACATGTTTCCGCTGCTATCCTGTCTGTCGCGCGCCCCGTGACGTGCGACGTTTATTTTCTTCCCGTCACGTGCTCGGGGCGCATGGCGGTTTTCTGCCCACCGCGTGCTCGGGGCGCACGGCAGTTTTCTGCCTCACGCGTCACCCCGAGGACCCGCGGGTCCCTCCCCGTCGACCGTCGTGTCACCCAGGGACCCGCGCATCCCTCGTCGTCGACCGTCGCACCGCCCCCGGAGAACCGCGCGTCCACCCCGTCGACCGTCGCGTCGCCCCTGGGGACCCGCGTGCGCCCCCCGCGATCCCGTTGCGTCGCCTTAGGGACCCGCGCGCGGCCCCTGCTATCCCGGCGCGCCACCCCATGGGACCCGTGCGCCGCTTCGTGGACCCGCGTGTCGCCCTGCGGCCCCCCTCCCCGCACACATGAGTTCGCTTACCGCACACCCGAGTTCGCTTCCCGCACGCTTGTGCACGCTTCGCGCACACCTGAGCTCGCTTACCGCACACTCAGGGTATGGGGGTGACGGGTATGGGGGTGGCGGGTGTGTGAGCGGTCCCCTGCTCCTCCTCCTCCGTCTCCTACTGCTGCAGCTGCCGCTGAGGGGGGTGGGTGTGTGGGAGACGAAGGAGTGGTGCTAGGGGGGTGACATGTGAGTGGCCCTAGGGGTGCAGTAGGGGGTGTGTGAAATGGGGGTGGGATAGTTTGGGGAGGTTGAAGGGGGTGGCCGCCGAGAAGCCAGCAGCTCCAGACGCCCGTGAGACCGTTGCGCCAGTCGCCCGTGAGCCCGTTGCGCCAGTCGCCCGTGAGCCCGTTGCTCTAGTCGCCTGTGAGTTCGTTGCTCGTCTGCCGCTACTTTTAGCCGCGGAGCCAGTTACTCCAGTAGCTCGTGTGCCAGTTGCTCCAGTTGCCAGTGTGCCAGTTGCTCCAGTTGCCCGTGTGCCAGTTGCTCCAGTTGCGCCGTGTGCCAGCAGCTTCAGCTGCCGCCCACTACCTCCTCTCCTCTCATAGTCCCTCCTCCTCCACACTAGCCCTCTGCGATAGCCTCTAGCTTTGCTCATAATTGTGAACTTTAAACTATTGCTTCTTGAACTTGTGCTCAGAATGTGTGGTGACATTGTGATCCACCCTGAGCTTGTCCTGCTTTGCTTGCTCTGCTGATTACACCCCACTTTGGCTATGGGGGTGTGTCAGAATATTATGCTCTAGCCTGTAGTGGGGTGCTTTATAGCGAGTACAACCTTTCTAGGATTTGCTATTTGTATCCTCATTCTTGCTAGTTCAACCCCTTCTTTCATTTCTCTTTCGTGTACCCTAAACCTAGCCATGGCTTCTTAGCCTTAGCTACTATTTTCACACAGGGTGGATCACAATGTCACCACACATTCTGAGCACAAGTTCAAGAAGCAACAGTTTAAAGTTCACAAGTCTAAGCAAAGCTACAGGCTATCGCAGAGGGCAAGTCAAGAGGAGGAGGCGAGACTGTAAGAGGAGAGGAGATAGGAGGCGACGACTGAAGCTGCAGATACACGGGCAACAGGAGGCACACTGGCACAGCGGCTACCGGAACAACGCTCCGGACTACTAGAGTAACTGGCCCCGCGGCTAGAAGTAGCGGTAGACGAGCAACGGACCTACGGGCGGCTGGCACAGGTGGCTGCGACTGGGCTACCGGAGCAACTTCCCGGACTACAGGTGCTGCTGGCGACACGACGCCAACCTCCGTTCAACTTCCCCAAACAGTCCCACTCCCCCTGACACACACCCCCTGCTTCACCCCTAGCTCCACTCCCCCTTCACCCCCCTTAGTACCACTCCGACGGCTCCAACAGGTCCACCCCCCTCAGCGGCAGCTGCAGCACTGGGAGACGGAGGAGGAGGAGGAGAAGGGTCCGGCACACAGAAGCTGCACCCCCATACCCCCCACCCCCAAACCCTAATCCAGGAGAACGGGCAGCAGCAGGGGTGGGGCACCATCAGAGGCACGGGGGACAGCGGGCAGCGCAGGGGCAGCGAAGAACGGGCCGCCCACGGGCCTGGCACAGCCGCCCGAACCGCGCCCAGGCAGCCCGAGCCGCGCGCGGGCCTGGCGCAGCCCGTACGGGCCGCGCGCAGCCTGTACGGGCCGCGCGCCGGCCACGACGGGCGACAGGGGGCGACGCGCGGGTCCCCGTCGCCCGTCGCAGCGCCTCCCGGGGGCGACGCGCCGAGTGACGGGGTAGAAACCCGTCGCGCGCCTCGGGGCGCACAGCGGGCTGAAAACCGCCGCGCGCCTCGGGGCGCACGGCGGGCTGAAAACCCTAATTTTGACGCCGCGCACCACGGGGCGCGCGGCGGACAGGGAGTAGCAGTAGCAGCGATAGCAGTGAGGTGGGGCCCACAAGCGAGGAGAAGATCGCTCTAATACCATGTGAAGATGGTAGGCAGAAGTAGGCGCCATAACTATGAAAGCCCTAGCTAGGCAAGAAACAGTTTAGGCAAAGAAGGGGGGGGTTCACTAGCAGGAATGAGGATACAAATAGCAAACCCTAGAAGGGTTGTACTCCCTATAGAGCACCCCACTACAAGCTAGTGTCAGAACATTATAGCTTATGCTTTTGTGTAGGCTGTAGTGGTGTAGCCCATATGCGGTACAACCCAATTAGGGTTAGTACTTGTACCCAATTCTTTCATAGTGCATTCATTCTCGTTCTAGTTTTCTCATGGTATCGAGCAGGTTCCATCGTGGGAACTGTTCCTAGGGCCCACCAATTCGATTTTATTTTTCCTGCCCGGAGCGCGCTCACTTCCTGCCCGAGTCGCGCTCCCCTCTCTCGACCCTCTCGCGCCGCCTTAGCGGCCCCGTCGCGTCGCCCTCGTGGCCCCATCCCGTCGCGCCGCCCTAGCGGCTGCGTCCCGCCGCCCTAGCGGCCCTGATCCGCCGCCCTAGCGGCCGCGTCGCTGCGGCCCTGGCGCCCCGGCGCCGCCCTTCCCGGCCCCGATCCGCCGCCCTAGCGAGGCCCCGACGCTGCCCTTCCCGACCCGGCCCAACCTCTGCTGGCCCCGTCGCCTACCTTGCGGCCCCGGCGCCGCCCTTTCCCGGTCCCGACGCCGCCCTTCCCGACCCGGCCCCGCCTCTGCTGGCCCCGTCGCCTACCTCTGCGGCCCCGACGCCGCCATTCTCGGCCTCGGCACTGCCCTTCCCGGCCCCGGCCCAGCCTCTGCTGGCCCCGTCGCCCGCCCTTCCCGGCCCCGGCTCAGCCTTCACGCGGCCCCGCCGAGCTACTGCCGAGCCGCAAGCGCCACCTGAGCCGCCCGAGCCGCCGTACCGCCGAGCCGCCGTACCGCCGAGCCGCCCGAGCCGCCGAGTCGCCCGAGCCGCCCGAGCCGCCGTACCGCCGAGCCGCCCGAGCCGCTGAGTCGCCGAGCCGCAGTTGCCGCCGAGCCGCCCGAGCCGCCCGATCCGCCAAGCT